GATAGATAGATAGATAGATAGATAGATAGATAGATAGATAGATAGATAGATAGATAGATATAAAATGCATCTGTGTATGTATGTGTATGATTTGCCATAAACCTATGAAAAATGAAGGAAATATCACCACCACCACCAAGATACATTAGCAAAGTAGTCGTATTATGTTTGCATTTTCCAAAAAAAGGAACAAAATCAAAAATATCTTAGAGCATGGGAGTTTTGCATTAATCTGACCAGTTCTAAAACTTCAGTTTATATTCTTCTTTATTTTTCAAATGCAAAGAAAATATTTTTGGCACATTAATGACGGTAGATGTCCTACATTACTTTGGGAACAATGAACTACCTAGATTTTCCCTTAAAGCACTGCAGAGATTGCAAAGTCTTTTCATGGGAATGGTATAGCAGGGTAGACAAAATGGCAACAATTTCATAGTAGAGATCTTGCAGCCTGAAATTAAACATATACAATCATTGTATCAGTATTGAAAGGCAAAAAATAAAGCCAGGTTCATTGATTATCAGGACAACATAGAAATATTCCACTCAGCACTATATTCAATACGCAGCAAATGACTCTGAAAGTCATTTGGCTGTGACACCTCTAAACACATTCCTTAACTACAGTGTTCAGGGTAACTATTTCAGATGCTTTAAAAAGAATGCTTTCTACTTGGTTTTAGAATTGAGGACAGTGAAGCATTTGATCATTGCTGAATATTAGCATGCGAATAGGATCTAAATCCCAGACTCTATTTAAGAAAAGTTACACACTTGTACACAGTGGCATCCTGACGATCAAGGGATGCCAAATAGAGGTCAATGAATGGCAGGCTGGCACAGAAGTCTTCCAAGACCATAGGATCTGAATGAAGCAGGCTCTTTTTAAAGCTTTCCACCATTTCATCAAAAGTTTTGTACTCAGTTGATTTCTAGGGTGAAAAGAGAGGTGTGGAGGTTAATTACTCATTCAGAACTCATTCAGAAGCCAGTTTTGGTTTTGCGGAACCAAAAGTCACTTCTCCAAATAGCCACAATGGAAAGTATGGAGTGGATCATCAGATTTAGAATTTGCCTCATGAATAACCTCTTAAATATTTACAAATTTTGTCCAGTCTCAACCTTTAAGGTTGGGGGTCCCCTCAAGTTATGCTGTGCTATCTCAACATGGAGAAGAAAGGGTGTTCCTGTGGGAGGGATGAGAAGAACATTGGGAATGTAAGTTAAGTATCTGTAATGACAGTAGGCTTATCCAAGGCATGAAGGTCATCCCAGTTCCCTAGCTAAAGCAAATAGACACCTACAGCATATGGGGCAGCAGCAACATAGAAAGATGATAGAGGTGGATTTTAGTGACAATGGCAAATGCTTCATTTCAAACTGAGGTGGGATGGGGAAAGCCAAGAGACAAGACAGTGGTGAACTATTCCTGTATTTTACCAAGAAAACCACATCAATGAAGTGATTGACAAGATAATGCCAGATGATGGGTTCCCTCAGATCAGATGGCACTCAAACTGATATTGAGGAACAGCTGAGAACTTTCAGAATACCAATGATGTTTATGATTATAACCAATTCCATTGTATTTATTTTGTACAATTACAATAAAGACTATACTATGATGTGACTGGATTAAAGCTTTTGAAATGTCTGGTTGTTGATGTTGCCCTGACGAAAAGACATCCCAAAGCATAATTTCAGCAAAAACAGGGAACATAAGATGTGTGAACATGAGAAAGCTCAATCTAGTGAAAAATGAGATGAATCAACTCCAACTAATGAAGACTTATCTATTGAAAAACATTATATAAAATACAATTCCTACCTGCAGATTGAACAATTCAAATATTTCTTCCTGTTGCCTTTTTAGGATGGCCTGCTTCTTTGCAATCAAAGTAATTTGCCTTTCTTCTTTCAGTTTTTCCTCATATTGCTCAGTTGAGTGCTACATAAATCAAAGGATGTTGAGACAAAGGCCCCACTTGGTTCTAACTTCCTACTAGGAATGGCCCCACTGGCTGGAGATGATAGAACAAACTACACAGCAGAAGTGACCAGTTGGAGCAATTCATTTCCCACAATCTACAACCATACTGGTTAAGCCAATTCTGAGTAACAGTAGTTTAAAATCAACTGCTGCATTGGCCAATGGCCATGTCTCAAATGATAAATTGTTTACACTTTGCAGCTTTAAGGAACTTCTCTCCATTGTGTACTCTCTCTCCTCCCACTTCCTCAGTTTCTAGGTTACCTAGCTTATCATTTTCATACTTTTAACTTGTGTCTTCAAAGCACCATCTAAGCCAGGGGTATCAAACTGGCAGCCCGCAGACCAGATGCATCATGCGCAGGCCATGCCCACCCCAGCTCCGTGAAGGAAAAGAACATCACGAAAAGTCATGTGACGGCAACATGACACTGCGAGTTTGACACCTATGATCTAAGCACTCTGAAATTATAACATCGTTTCTGATTACAGGTAGTGCTTTTAGGGACCTCAACCGAGACTTGCAATTTGGTTGTTAAGTGAAACAATCCCTAAGTGAAATTGCAATTGTACTTAAAATCTTGCTTCAGTTGTCCTTTACATAACTGCTACACATTGTAAATGTGAGGATTGGTCATGGAGTTATTTTCTCATAATCATTATAATGGTGAATAGTCACCAAATGAATTGGTCAATAAACAAGGATTATCTTTTTATGCTTTTCAGTTAGTGTGGTCTCCTAGTGACTGCTTGGACAAGTCCCTATAGTTTTCTTGCCAAGATTTATTGGAAGTGTTTTGCCATGGTCTCTTTCCTGGGGCTGAGAGAGAGGGACTGGCCCAAGTTCACCCAGATAGCTTTGTGTTGAAGATGAGATTAGAAATCACTGTCTCACTGGTTTCTAGCCTGATGCATTAACAGTACACCAAACTGATTGTATAAACAAGGTTTACTTGTACTATTAGTTTGACACAATTATGTTTGAATGACTGTAAACGACACTGTAATTTACCAATAGGAAAACAACCTCTGAAATGACTTACTGTTAGTGGATAAAACTTATCCAATCTCATACAAAGTTTAAAACACAGTGTTTTCATTCAGATTTGAGATTCAAAAATCTGAAAAACCAATAAATGGCTGTGTGATTGTGTGTGTGTACACACACATATATACTGCATATAAAAATATATGATTTTTCGTACTTATTTATTAGATTTGTTTGCCATTCATCTAGCTTTGAGATGAATCTAATTCTTTGTTCCTATTTACTGGTTGTCTGAAGTTCTACAGTCCAGGTCTGGTAGACCTAACAAACACTTTTCAGCTAAGATAAACGAGAATCAAGGAAGGTATTATATACAGTCCACGTTATGTTAAAAAGCTCAAAATTAAAAATATAGAAAAATGAAAATGAACAGATTAAAGTTCAGTAACACTGCAATAGTTGACACTATTTTTATACCCAATGTCAATTTCTAATAATTGGATTTCAGTAGAAATTTTAAAATGCCATATAAATGTCACTTACCTGGATATCCATAATGACAACTCCAATAAACATATTGAAAAATACAAAAAATCCTAGCAGAATGAATACTATTGTGAATGTTCGGCTTGTAACAAACTTTTTATTATCCAATTCTTCCTGTAAGTCTGTCCATCCATCAACCTGAAATTTATCAATTCAACATTACAATCTAAAGATACCTTTTGTCAAACATCTGATAAATTATTTCTCTAGTCCAGAGATGGAACACTATGGCCCCTTTATGACTTTATGAAGTCATAAAGTCAGGAATTCTGCGAGTTAAAGTCAAATAATAAAAGGGCTATAGTTCCTTCACCCGTTGTGGCCCAATGCATTTCCTCTCCCCCGCCCCCAATACACAAACAAACTTAAGCAGGTATAAATGAACTACACTTGTTCATAAGTAACAAAAAATATCAATCTGGTCATAAAAACGTTGCATACATTTCACTGTACTGTTGCATCTATGCCAGTTCAGTCATTTTGGTGTTTGTTGTATCTGTTATGCCCTATTGTGTTAAAAAAAAAAGATTAAGCACGATAAGGGCTACAGTATTAAGCAGAAGTTGGGAAACATGACAAAGTAGAAAACTTCCCATGCTACGAGTGCTTGCAGGAAGCAGGCCAAAAAGTCAAGATGGTGGCTACAACCAAAATATCTCAAAGCATGTAAAAAGGGAGTACAGCTTGGGAGCTATCTTGATGTTTTTGTCCTCCTGGTCTATGTCCCACTTTGGGACCTTCTATTAACATGGGATTGATCCTTCTGAAAAGAAAAGAGGGTTCCACCACAAAACCGTGGATGACAAAATCGCGGTCGACGAAAGCGCACATTTGACGTCATCACAGCACGACGAAAACATCGCGCTGTGGTCGAAAAATGTAAAAATAAAGCGAAAACCTTACCCTAACCCCCCCAAACCTAACCCTAAACCTAACCCTTAACCTAACCCTAAATCTAACCCTAAACCTAACCCTTACCTTTATATGAATCGGCTTGCTTTAATTTTTATTTCAATTTTTAATTTTTTTCATCGCGCTGTGATGACGTCAAATGCGCGCTTTCGTCGATCGCGCTTTTGTGGACCGCGGTTTTGACGGGTCACGGAAAAGAGTAGACTAAATCAATTTGGCCTGATCCATAGAGATCATGGTTACTCCTACATGGGTATTAGTGTGCTCAATCTACACATGCTGAAAAGCACCATTTTTTCAAGCCAAACTCACAATGTTCACTAAGACTACTTAGACATTAGGATGATACTTGCAGGGGAGTATCTTCTTGCAACGCAAATTAAATCAAATAGTTCTAGCAACTACACCAGCTTGATTTAATCCTAAAAAAGCAATTAGTGGCATTATAGTCTGAATTTTCAGTGAAACAAGTAATTCCGTAATAGGTTCTCAAAGTATGAATTGTGAGCCACTGAAGCATCAGAGGTAACTTAGAGAAGGGTTACATTTTTTTTTTAAAAAAAAAGCCTAATCATGCAAGATAGGCAAAGTTTGAGCAGTGTCAAAGCTCACCCTGGGCTTTGGACCTTGTTTATCTATGTAAGTCCACAAAGCTCGAGATTAAAATTTAGTTCTTGAAAAATGGCTTAAATCAAAGCAAACAGGATTGGAAAAACTACTAAATGCAATCCTGACAAGTTAATAACCTTGATCTAAATAAACAAGGTCTTGCCCTTTGTTTCCCCTTTTATAAAAACTCAGATGCTCTGTACTCCCTCTAGTTGTATTCCAAATTTTGTCTATCTAGGTTCATTTTGCTGGACAACTAGTCTTCAATTTCGGTTCCAATTATAAAACAATAACGTTAGTCTAGCAGAGTTGACTATCATGTGAAATGCATGAAAATTACCGTTACTAAGCTGAAGAGTGTAAAAAAGGCAGCTGCTAAGCTGCCCCAGTTCCGTGGATCTCCATGTTCATAGTCTCCATACAAACCATGTCCCAGAATAGCAAAGATAAACATTAGCAAGAACAATAAGACAAGGACATAGATTACATTTTTCACAGTCTGGCCCATAGCTGCCAATAGATTCTGTAGAAGGGAGGAACAAAAGGAAGAAAAATCAAGTGAATACAATTTATGTGCTTTTATGTCGATCTCTTCCAACCTGATGGTCTCCAGGTGTGTGAGGACAACCATTTTCAGAGCTGCTAGCCACCTCTGGAGGGCACCAGGACAGGAAAGATGATTTGCAGCTAGCCCTTCGTTTAGGAACATTCATTTAGTGACTGTTTGAAGTTATGATGGTGCTAAAAGTGACTTATAACCAGTCATTGCATGAACAACTGTGGCAGCATCCCTGTGGTTAGGTAATAATGTGCAATTGGAGCAATTGGGTAATAATGTGCAAATGGAGCAATTGGCAGGTATTCATAATGGCTGCAGTGTCCTACCATGTGGCTGCCATTTGTGGCCTTCTCAGCAGGCTTCTAACAAACAAAGTCAATAGGGAAGTGGGGAGGGAAGGTCACAAATGACGATCTCATGATGTTTCACATAATGACTATGGCAAAATTGGGTATGGACCAGTGGTGGGTTTCAAAAAATTTTCGAACCTACTCTGTGGGTGTGGCCTCCTTTGTGGGAGTGGCTTGCTAGCCATGTGACCTGGTGGGAGTGGCTTGCCGGCCATGTTTTTCTCTCTCTCTCCCTCTCTCTCTCTCTCTTTCCTTCCTTTTGTCTCTCTGTCCCGTTTTCCTTTTTTTCTTTCATCTCACTTTTTCTTTCTTTTTTTCTTTCTTTCTTTCTTCTTTTCTTTCTCTTTCTCTCTCTGTGTTAGTCTGTTTGTGTGTGTGTGTGTATGTGTGTGTGTGTGTGTGTGGTGTGTGTGTGTGTGTGTCAGTAGTGGGTTGCTTTCCTGGTCCACTGGTAGAACCTCTTCTAACCGGTTCGGTAGATTTGATGAACTGGTTCTACCAAACTGGTAGGAACCCACCTCTGGTATGAACACATGGTACCTCACACTGACCACACTGCTTAATAAGGAGCTTTTCTTTCCCAATTGTGGTGTAAGTTGAGGACTATCTCTACATGAAGAGGGAAAAAAGGAAGCTCTAAACTAAAAATAATGGAACAATAGGTTATAGAGTTGGATCTTTGCCCATCTGAAGCAAAGTTACCATCTTACACAATGATCAACAATGGCATGCTTAATTGTGGAAAAAGAAATCACAATAAACCAGCAGCCCCATAGGCTACTTCAGAGAAAGCAATTTAGGGAAAGCATATAGATCACAGCTTCTTGAATTCTCCCCATCCCTTAATAATAGTTCCATTTTGAATCACATGCCTGGGACGGAGGACTTAAAATGTCAGCAACACTGTGTGCCACTGTTCAATGCTTGTTGTAAAGGGATACATTGGGGAATTTTTTCGGAGTGTTTTTTCTCCACAGTCCCCAGCCTGATTTAGCCCTTCTTCTTCTTTTTTATTTGATTTTTTTTCTTTTGTTGGATTCTTCTCCTACACCAAATTTGGCCCCGTTCAATTCACTTTTTCTGAGAGTTAATGGGATGATAGATGGAATTTTGCTCCCTTTACGTAATTTCTTTCCAACATTCTGTTGACTTGGAAATTCTTTTTTAAAGAGTGTGAATGAATGAAGACTTCTCAGCTGCATGCAAGTTGGTGTTTGCTTTTTCCAGTTATTGGTTTTATTTATTTGGCCTGTAAATATGAACATTATCATCATCATCATAATGAATAAATAATACCATGTGCTTATGTTTAGAACTCAGAAGGGGCTTCTGAAGTAAAAAAGTCATGTGCCAATACGTATGTCTGAAATGACGGCATGTGTAGTAACAGTCTCAATACTAAAAGACATGGGAGCTGCTAAGCTGGTAACGTCTTTGCTCTGACATCACAAAATAATTTCTTTGCTATATCCAGAGGTACCAATGAGCAGCTAATCCTGGCTTTGCAGAAATCCATTAACTTTTTATCCATTAAACACCCAAATAGTCCAACAAATGGATTTGGGATTTGAAGTGTGAGATGTTTTTGGCACTCACAGATGTTTGTTCTGAAAGAGCTAGCAGATTGCAAAGGTTCCCTCTGGCCTCTGTATTTGGCATCTGTATGCTTATAGTAAAGGAAAGGCAGCAAGCCTATTCTTTAGTCACTCCCTAGAGTAAAATAATATGCAGGCTGCATGGGATTTTCTGCAATGTTAGCCAAAATCCATGACCAACACAATGAACTCAAGCAAAGTTCTCAAGTCAGAATTCACATCTGTTCCTGAAGAATCTGCTCTACTGTACTGATATCATTTCAGTTCTTTATAAGAATTAGTTCTGTTTGGCGTTCTTAGCTGATGACCCTGCGCTTTTCAGTATTTCCTCTAAGGGATTATTAACTAAGAATTATTACCCTGAAAATGGCATGCAATAGATAGTCCTGAAGAGTGGGAACAACAGTACTGTATTGTAGCAAATTTGTTTAAAAAGTAGAAGTTCTATAGAAATTACTACTTTTGTGAGGTCCTTGATGCTCCCTGAGTGTGGCTATTTTCTTGCAGACATTTAATTACCAAACTAGGTAACTTCATCAGTGCTAGATGTTACCTAGTTTAATAATGAAATATTGGATGAATAGTGACCCGCCACAAGACTCATCACAAGATCCTCACTTGACACGACCCTCACCTGACAGGACCTCCCCATCACAAGACCTACTGACCACACAAAGCCCTTATAAGCAGAAGAACACTGACACTGACTTCCCCTAAACTCTGCTAAACATGTTACTTAACCTGGTAATGAAAAGTTCAGAAACCAACTCACAAGCATGGAGAATGAACCTCCACCTTCATCCTCCACCCGAGCTACAAATATTTGCCACTACTGCAGAGAGAAAGGCATTCCTTCCCAAAACCTACAGGTGACTCTTGCATTAATACTGACTGCAACAAGTGCAACATCACACAAGTGCACAAGACAGATGGGAGGTCCTTTGTGAACAGTAAAAGGGAAGTTGTATCTGATTACTTACAGTTATCCCTGGACTATAGTAGAGCAGCTTGAGGACTCGGAGAGCTTGGAATCCTTTCAGCATAGTTACAGTATGGTGCATTTTTGGGTTGCTGCGGTCAATGGTGTATGGGAGGTAAGCAATGAAAAGGACAGTAGCATCAAAACGCTTATAACCGTCCTTCCAATAATTAACCGGATCCAAGTAAAGGCTCATTAGAAATTCTGTGGTATAGATGGCTAAAATGAGCAGATCTGCTACCTAAAAAAGAAATTGTGATATTGTTCAAAGGAATATGCTTGCATATATGCATGTTTGTATACGCACACACAATGCATGTATACATTACATATACACATGATTCTTTTTCAAACTTTATAAAGTTAGTCATTTTTTCAGGTTTGACTGCTTATCTATCGTCCAGTTTAAACATTTACAACTAGATTATTTAATTTTATTGCTGTTCTGCCAAACAATGCAGTTTGTAGCAAGCAGTTTAAGAAGGGTGGGCTCAATGTGTCCCTGTAAGCTATCTTTGACAGTTGTGCCACCCGACTTCATTTTTAACAATTATTATTTTAATGAAAAATTAAAAAAAATGAGAAGTTGCATAAACAAAGCGGAGCAGCCTTTAATTTCTTGATCCAGTGCTTCTAGACCTCACAGATAAGGCTTTACCTTAGCAGATAAATGCTGAGCATGTGCAGCTCACTCCTTCCTTTAGGAATGGAGTTTCCTGTTTAGAAACATACAAAAAACCTGGGGAGGCAGACAACGCAAAGGAGGGAAGCTAGAAAAAAGTAAGACACAACCTCAACAATTTGTAATAATCTGGTGCCATCCCACAGGTGGGTTCCTACCAGTTTGCACCTATTCGGTAGAACCGGTTCGTCAAATCTACCGAACCGGTTAGAAGAGGTTCCACCAGTGGACCCG